GCTACTGACTACAGCTACTGCTTAAAAAATGTAGCGAATTATTTCGCTATTTCGCTACACTATATATTTTTAGTTTTACTATATTTGGAGCATCTACTAACTCAGGCTGTAATGTAATCTATAACAAATCGACTTACGAGTAACAACAGTAAACACAAAGCAACATTTTGTAAGCACTACAGTGTTCAGGAGTGCACTAATGAAATTGACTATTGAGTATTGATTTTAAGCAAACCGTGTCTCAAAATCATGCTATTCTATCAAGTTGTTAACAATTTTAAAAAGTAGCGAATAGCGATTCGCTGTTTGAAAAGTAGTCAACTACTCGGCTACTTTCAGGCAAAATGTAGTTCGCTATAACTACAACTACTGTTTTAAAAAAGTAGTCAAAAACTACTGGCTACTTGAAAATTGTAGTAGCGAACTACAACTACTTCGCTACTACCCACCCTTGTATTTTGGCTACTTTCAGGCAAAATGTAGTTCGCTATAACTACAACTACTGTTTTAAAAAAGTAGTCAAAAACTACTGGCTACTTGAAAATTGTAGTAGCGAACTACAACTACTTCGCTACTACCCACCCTTGTATTTTACAGGTATTCGCATTCCTATCAATCTGAAGCTTTCAGAACTTAAGAGACTGTAGATTTCAAATTTTCTGGGGAAACATGTTTTGGAAAACGACAATCCTGATACCGTACACAATTATAACCAATACCTATAAAAAAACAGAGTATTGCATGGGGTTAGGCAGGCCTTGCCCTAAGAAAAACAATGGTGCTTACCCCATGGTTGCTCAATTTTTGTTTTGGAAAACGACAATCCTGATACCGTACACAATTATAACCAATACCTATAAAAAAACAGAGTATTGCATGGGGTTAGGCAGGCCTTGCCCTAAGAAAAACAATGGTGCTTACCCCATCGAGTGCCAATGCTCTCCCCTTGACAAGTAAAATCGTCAGGCATTAGACGGAGTAAAATAATAAAGTAGGCTGCACTAGCATTCAATGCGACTTAATGCATTAACTACAGTAGACACACAGATAGTCCGATTATATATATTAAACCTAATGACAGGCAGGTCAATATGACAAGTAAAATTGTTTGGTCTTAGACAGGGTAAAATAATAAAATAGGCTGCATTAGGGTACAATGCAACTTAATGGGTAAGTACTAGACACATGGACAGATAGTCTAACCAACCCATTGATCGAGTGCTTTATCATTCGGCGTTAGACAGAGTAAAGTAATAAAGTAGGGTCCATTAAAGTACAGTGGACCTTAATGGATTACGCCTCAAAATTCTGCCTTATTCCTAACGTGACCGATACAAAATCATTATATTTATATTAACCAATACAAAATCATTATATTTATCTACTATAAACTGATGATTGATTTTAAACTTCCAAACATCTCCAAAACCTTGTTCATTTTGATTACTGTTCTGCCAAATACCTATCAAAATTGCACGTGAAAGATAAACTAAACGTCAAATTACATTGCTGAAACTGTATGGCGAACCCAGTTTTGGAAAGTGACAAATTATCTTGAGTGAAAATTTGAGGAGAACAAAATTCATAAAATTCCACAACAAATCTACAAACAATGCATGCTAAAACATTATATTTACTTCATACCATAGCTAGATTAATATATTTTTGCAATTACATGCCAATAATTTTCGCGATCCACGTCCCAAAACCCCAAAGCTTGCGTGAAATTTTCAATTTTACTCATTTTCAATTTGACTCATATTTTCCCTCATTTCTGCGAGTTCCATTTCGAGGTATTTTCGATCGCCTCAAACGAAGCGAATACTAAAAAACAGCGCGCTCCAAACACGGTACGCATAATCTAGAGAAAACGGAGATTGAAATAAAATATGTCCCACTTACCGATCTCGTAAACAAACAAACAAAAATAGGAGAAGTAAAATTTGTTTTTTAAAAAAAATTTTCTATCCTGCCATTTTGAACAGAACAGATTTTAATCAATTTCGTGCCCAGTTCTTCCCACCTTCGAACGGCCGCGCGCGTTTCACTTTGGAGCCGACAAATATTTGCAAAAAGCAAAAAAATTGTGAACGAAAATCGCTCGTAAATTGATCAAATTTGTGCGCAAATTTGAAATATAATGGCAGATTTCTTAACGACGATATCTAGTGCGAAAGATTGGCCCGAAAATTGGAAAGATTTGCAGGTATTTTTGTTGCAAAAGTGCTTTTGATAGGCAGCTAGTGGTGGTAACATTTTGCGGTAGTCAAGTACTTCACTGATTTGACTCCTTGTGGTATTAATGCTATAATGTTATTAAATTTACGTTAAACGATCAAAACAAGTAAAGTTTTGTCAAAGATATTGTAAATTATTCAATGAAAACTTCACAATATGATAGCAATCACTGATACAATATAAAACGTACCATTCAAATCATACATCCCCCCCCTCCCCCGATAAAAATCCCTGATCATAAACCCCCTGGCCAGCCTTTGCTATTTTGCACCGCACCAGCTTTACTCTTTAACGCTGCCTATTGCCTGAGAATTTTACTCGTCAGGGGGAGCGTGCAGCCACTCAATTGATTAACCCATTGGCGAATAAAATTGTCTGGCATTAGACAGAGTAAGTGCACACATGGTCACATATGGAATGCAATGCAACTCATTGAGTTAAGTAGACACATGGGCAGACTGAGCTGGTGCACTCTCCTTTGGCAAGTAAAATCATCTGGCATTATATGGATTGAGTAAAATAATAAAGTATTGGGGCGCGGTAGAACTTAATCGCTTAAATGACCAAAATAAGGAAAGTCTTGTCAAAGATTTTGTAAAATATATAATTATTTCACAATATCCAATACAATCACTGAGTCTTCTATATATAAAATTACCTGGTGTTAGACAGAGTAAAATAATAAAGTATGGCACATTTGGACGCACATTGCAGGTTATTGGAATATTGGGTTAATATTGCTGCTCTACATTGCTTTTTAGACAATTGACAGTTTATTACGATGTTCAATCTGTGGTGAATTTTTCAAAAATACAACTTTTATTCCGTCATGTTCTCACAACTGTAAGTGCCAGGAAGACTAATATTATAATAATTATAATAATAATAATTACAGTATCTCAAACGTGGTGGTCCAGTGTAGGTAGTGTTCTACAATAAGCTGCCGTGGTTTGTATCTGAACTACCTGAAATTGAAAAAGATATCTCAAACGTGGTGGTCCAGTGTAGGTATAGTATTCTACAATAAGCTGCCATGGTTTGTGTCTGAACTACCTGAAAAAGATATCTCAAACGTGGTGGTCCAGTGTAGGTAGTATTCTACAATAAGCTGTCGTGGTTTGTGTCTGAACTATCTGAAAAATATACTCAAACGTGGTGGTCCAGTGTAGGTAGTATTCTACAATAAACTGCCGTGGTTTGTGTCTGAACTACCTGAAAGAGATATCTCAAACGTGGTAGTCCAGTGTAGGTAGTATTCTACAATAAGCTGTTGTGGTTTGTGTCTGAACTACCTGAAAAAGATATCTCAAATGTGGTGGTCCAGTGTAGGTAGTATTCTACAATAACCTGTCGTGGTTTGTGTCTGAACTACCTGAAAAATATATCTCAAATGTGATGGTAAATATATTTATAAACATTTCCTTTTAAAACTTCAGATTGTTCGCTCTGTATCAGAAGATCTTTACCTGGTAATTCCAAATGTCCGATATGTGGCGTTGTAAGTGAACAATTTAAACTGTCGCATTCTAATGTCTTGCAGATTTCATCTCAGAACAAGTATTTTAATTTAAAACTAAATAACAATTCAAATATTTTTAGAACGTTCAAGAGTCGCAGTTAGAGAACAACAGAATTATCGATGAAATTGTAAAAAGCTTTGTCAAGATTCGTAGTCGATTGTTGGAAGTCGTTAAGAATAGTTGTAGCGACATTAATAAACCACAGGTTAAGAAAAAGACAGAATTAGGCAAGGCAGTTAAGAAGAAAGATGACAGCAAATCAAGATTTTTTACTAAAAAGGTCAGATTTTCACATTGCTGAAGGAATTAATCTTGTAGCAAGTCTGCCAACAAGCCGTTAACAAGTTGTGTTCGCACTGCTTGTCCCAAGTTGTCAACAAGTTTGGAACAAGCTGTTAACAGCTTGCAACAACCTTGTTGATATTATCAGAGTTGTTACAAGGTTGTTCCAACAAATCCGATACAGTCATGATATAACAATATTGTACAAGTTGTTTAAACAGCTTGTAACAAGCTTGTTGATATTATCAGACTTGTAGCACGATTGCTCCAACAAGTCTGATACAGTCATGATATAACAATATTGTACAAGTTGTTTAAACAGCTTGTAACAAGCTTGTTGATATTATCAGACTTGTAGCAAGGTTGTTCCAACAAGTCTGATACAGTCATGATATAACAATATTGTACTAGAAATTACTATCGCAAGGAAAGTGCTGCCTCCCCCCCCCCCTTTCATCACATAAACACGAAAAGCACCCCTAAGACACCTGTTCAGGTGGTAGAAAAAGTGCAATCTGAATATGAAAACACTTTGCACAAAATCGAAGCTCAGCTAAATATTCCAATTGTATTGACTTCCACAAATTCCCTACTCTTCAAGAAATTACTTCCTTGAAAATTCCTTCGTTCTAAACAAGGATGAAGGACTTTGTGAAAGTCTACAGGTCATGCTATGCAAGTTTTTAATGATTTGCATTATTCAAATTGATGCAGGTTTATTGGCATATCATAACCAGTTGCCATGGCTAGCTTGCCACTGAATACTGTACATTATAATATAGCATTTGTAAATTCTGAACGCTGATTGGCTAAGAGTCGTGTTGATATAACTCAATGTCAACACGGGAAATTTTCCGCCGCTTGTAAACACGGAAATTTTTCTTATCCTTCAGGCTTTTGACATTGCTATATTATAAAAAAAATATAAAACATTTTTCCGTATTGATATATAGTTATATCAACACTCGTGGAAGTTGGGAAAACTCGAAATTGTATGAAAACACTCCGCCCTTCGGGCGTCGTGTTTCCATACAATTTCTCGTTTTCCCAATTCCACTTGTGTTGATATAACTGTATATCAACACGGAAAATGTTTTATATTTGTTAAATATCATATATAACAAATGATAATAATTAATACTTAAATGAATCATTTGATATGCAGAATTTAATAACAATTTCATACATAGAAATACTACCAGTAAGTCAGTTTTTGCCTCAATTATCATTTTAATGGTACTTTCAAAACTACCACTACCGCAGAACAACAGAACAATCTGCCGATGGGGAGACAAAATCTATTTTGTTGACATTTTTGTTTAATACGTCAGCTTCATATGACACCATTCATTCTGTAAATGATTAAGATTGCAATTGTTTAATATGTCAGCTTCATATGACACCATTCTTTTTATCAATGATTAAGATTGTACTCAGTCAGAACTGTAAAACTATATAATAAGAAAGAAATTGTGAGCATTATGGAAAAAGTCAAATAATTTTTCATTTGTGTACAATTGTGTGTTACAATTTGGACATCATACTGCTCATTTGACCTTATGCATAATGATGTCACAAGGCTTGATGCCTGCGAGGAATGCTGGTCTTAAGCTATGGGCAAACTAGGAAACGTTGCAGAAACATTTGTGATTCTCGATGTTTCCTCAGACGTTTCCCTGTTCGCCCACCCTGTTCGTCCACGCCTGTTCGTCCGCAACAACGTTTCCTAGTTTGCCCAGGACTTTAGTAGTAATCGCCCAGGAAAATTAAACAATCCAAAATGGCCACTATCGAAATTTTCTTGGCCATCAAGCCTTAAGACGTCATTATGCATAAGGTCTATTGATTTGATATACAGACATTACAGTAAAGCCTTGCCCTCGCATAAAAGAACCAGTAGGTTAAGAACCACTAGCCTGAAATTTGGGCAATTGAGCACCCAAAATACAATGTGTTGAATATAAAAAAGTATAGTGTGAAGTAAGACAATATACGAACCACTTCAGCCTGAAGTCAAAATTCACTGGTTCTTTTATACACGGCTTAATTACTGCATATCATATTCCCATAATTAAATAATAACAATATCAATAATCATTTTACTGTAATATAATAAATATATATATAACTATTTTTATTGACAATTTTCTAATTTACATACAACCTACATATTTGTAAAATTTGATATACAATACCTTGTTGGCTTGATCTTTTGACAGAATCAGTATACAAGTGATACAACTTTATTATTGCCAACCGTCGACGATTGCCCAGCTAGCAAGATCACAACCTCGCTAGTATAAAAGTATAAAATATAGCTAGTTCACACATAGCTAGCAAGTTTGGTACAGTTACACAGAGTTCACAATTCACTGCTTTTTTGAAAAACATAATATGAACGGCTCCTTTAATTTTGACTTGATTTGACCAAATGATCGCCACGAACACACAACAAAATATACACCTAGAGGAGATAGAATTCGAATTTTTATAATGTATTTTTAATATAAAAACAGACTATCACGTTCATTTACATATATAAATGAAAGT